ATTATCAAATACCATTTATCAAAAAATATTGATATAGTATGTTTTGACAAAAATTTTATTTTGACCTAAAGAGTGCTTGCTTGTACCAAAACTATTATCAATTACACTTTATCAAAAAGTATTGATAAAATATGTTTTCATAAATGGTAATTTTGAGAAGTATATAAAAAGTATAGAAACAGTCGGTATGAGATTAACCCATTTCACGGGTCCAAACAGCTTGTATATATTAAAATGAATACTTTATAATTTTTAAGTATATTCTGCTGCGCCAATGGTTATTTCAGCGTGTATGCTGTGTTATATCAATATGTGCTTATTCAATTATAAAAGCAAAAAATTTAGTTAATAAAAAAAATATATAGTGATTATTGCATATTAATGCAAGCTTTAGTATTAAAAAAAAGGTAAAATTTGTGATAAAGGTAATTACAAGTATCATTATTAAATCCTACTTACGAGTTGAGTTACTTTTTAATACGATTTAAATTAGAAAACAAATTTTTAAGTTATAAGATTTTTAGTATATATTTAAAAGGTTACATTAGATAAAGTAAAAGTAAATTATAAATAAATTATAAAATTGTATACAACTAATCATTATGTCTCTACTAGTTTGCATTTGTTAAATGCGGCGGCTAAGTTTTTTAATATGTATGTTAATATTTGTAAGCATTTTAACGGATTGTTATCCAATACAAATTCAGGTTAGTTTTTGTAAAAGGAATAGTTTGATTTAGTAAAGTTCAACTTAGTGAATAGCCACAATTCAAAATCAAGCAAAGGTTCTCGATAAAAAAATGAAAGTTTGTGCGCTTTTTCTGTGTGAAAAGAGTTTACTCCAGCTTACTGATCCAAGACAGCTCACTACTTTTCAAGGATATTGAATATGTCAACTGTATTAGACAAAGATCAATATCAGTGATTCTCGGGTACAACAAAGACTTTGTAAATTTGTAGAAAAATTTTGCTCAGGAAACAAGATGGGAAGAAGTTGTACTCCCACTTTTTTTTATTTTTAATTCAATACAAGTGAAACCTGAAACAAGAGAAACGATGTGTTATTGCTGTAGCTGCCAAATTTGTCTTTAGAAGCTGCAAAAAAAATTATCTTGAAGAGAAAGCGTTATCAAAAACAAACCAAATGAAATTTGCAGCACAAGCCTCGGCCCTTTAGGAAGAAAATTGCATTATCAATGCTCTCAAATGAAGTTCAGGAAAAACATTCAATCTTTAGCAGCAAATAAGCAATTTTTATCTTGAATTATTTCAAACAAATAGTTATTCCCTAAAGAAACTAAGGCATGTACACAAAATAAATATGAAAAAATAAATATGTCATTGTTTTTATAGTTCTGGAACATGTTGCCAACAAAATACGAAAACAACCAGAAATACATTTCTGGTTGTGTTCGTATTTTGTTGGCAACATGTGCGAATTTTAAAAAATGTTTTAGCTTTCTTAATTAACTTAAAATAAGTTTTAAAAATGACAAAAGAAGAAAACGTTAAAAAAATATTTTGTTCAAATATTATGAAAAATCTGATTAAAAGGTAAAATTCAGTTGCAAAAAAGTTGCAAACGCATCCTTATATCGTTATTTAGCGTCATGTTATTTACCGTTTTTCCAAACAAATTCGATCCTACGCAAATCGAGTAAAGGATGGAAGGAAGTTTTTTAAAATATAAAACTGGTTAACAGTTTTAGGAACTATCCAAGTAACTTTTTATGAGAGCGCAACTTTCTTATAGATTTGTTATAAAAGTTCAAAATAAACATGTTTTTTTGATGCTTCCAAATCACAAAACGTGCTTAATCGTTCCAATATTTTTTAAAAAAAGTGCAAGAACCGGCTGAAAAAAGTTGTATGACAATATTTTTTTTGTAAAAATTTCTCAATTGTTAAAAATGATGAAATCTATATGAAGTACGAATATTAGAAAATTTCTGAAATAAACAAAATGAGGTGAAAGTTGTGTTTAATCCTCTAAACCTCCTATAATTTAAAAATGTTGCAAAGTGCTGGGTAGTTATTAAACTAAAAATGAAAATAAAATAAAAAACTATGCAGAAATATTGAAGATTTGAAAATTTCATTTAAGAAGCATCAAGTATTGATTGTTATCATGAACACAAGCGTATGTGTACAACCAAAGCAACAGTTCAAAAATCTATTAGATGCCTACGGTAACAAATTAATTGCTTAGAAATATTTTGTTTCTTATAATGATGTATTAATAATAATACTTAGCCCTAAATAAAAGTTGATGTTTATCTTTTTTAAGATGTTTCTATTTTCACTTTAACACTTGTTTCGTGTACACGCTTTATTCGACTTACTAAAGATCTGGGGGCCTCTACTTACACTTAACCTAGGTAAATATTTACAAACGTATATATATATATATATATATATATATATATATATATATATATATATATATATATATATATATATATATATATATATACCAGGTAAAATATTATATATTTAAATGATTTTTACATATATATTCAATAAAAATCTTTAAGAAATGACACAAGAATAAAGTCTTTGGAAGTATATCTTTATATTATATTGGAAATCACTTTGAAAACAAATAGTTTGAAAGTTAAACAATTTTTCAAATTTTTGATTTTTAAAAAACTTAAACTTTCAAACTAAACAAAGTTTAACATAATGATAAAATGCATTTGTTTTGGTTTTAGGTTAAAGTAAGGCTCAGTCACTTGCAAGCGCTCCAATATTTACCTCTTTAGCTCTTTTTAGTGTACAATTAAATATGGGATTCAAACAGCAGATTAAAAAGCTGGTTAGAACTGTATTTAAACCTTTATTCTGCATGATCTAAACATCATGCAGAATAAAGGTTTAACCAAATTTTTATAAAAACTTTTTATAAGCAGGTCATCACTTTACTGATATCTTAACCTTCAGAGACTTAAAAAAAATTACTTAAAAAAGGGAAAAGAAGATTGTGATACAGTTTGGGTTATTGCTCACTGCAATAATTTATCAAATCCGGATAGTTAGCGCTTTTAATGTGTGTGAATTAAACCTGATTGAAATCTTGTTACTCGTATTTAAATACCAAAATGAAATGCTTTAAAATCGTATTATAAATAATTTTAAAGAACTGATCTTATAAAATAATAAGTCAACCACGTGTTGAAAGCATGGGAGGCAGCGTTGCAATACATATTCTTGACAAGTTTGTATTTAAAACAAAAGACTTTTTGTAAAGCAAACAAACATATTGAAACTTTGTGTATAGAAATTCTAAATAAAACTGGTAAGCCTTTTTTTCTAAGCCTATTATGAAAATTAATTTGCTTACCGCCATGCAGTAAGCAAATTAACTTTCATAATAGCCTTAGAAAAATTATTTTTGAGAATTTTTCGAATACTTTTCAAAATGTTTATGACATTGTCTGCTCAAAATTTATCACTGAATTAAAAAACAAACAACTTAAAAACCCATGGATGACAAATAATTTGATAAAATCATCAAAAAGAAAACAAAAGCTTTATATAAAATTTTTAAAATTTAAAAAGGAAAATGACAAAAATGTGTACAAATCATACAAAAAGTTTTATCAAAATAACTTAAAACAAGCTAAAATAAAATAAGTTTGATATCAAAAGAACCTGGTCTATTTTAAATGAAGTAACTGGAAAAGAGAAAAAGAAACTGTCTTGATCACCAAAAAAAATAATTAATAACAACAAAACTATAAGTGAAAAAAATATGTCGAAAATTTAACAAATATTTTGTTAATGTGGCCGCCTCTCTTGCATCTAACATTATTCAGTCAACTAAAGTGTTTGATAAGTACTTGGGAGAGAAAACCGTGACTAGCATATCTAATGAAAAAATAAATAAACACGAAACTAACAAAGCGCTGTTTGAACTTAGGCGTAACAATTCATGTGGATATGACGACAATACCAGTAATGTAGCTATCTATGTCATGGATAGTATAAGTTAACCATTGTTTTATTTAATAGCATTTTCATTTGAGAATAGTATATTTCCTGGTAAATTAAAATCAGCCAAAATTCATCCAGTTTTTACAAATGGGCATTATTCTTCTGTTAGCAATTACCGTCCTATATTACTACTTCCTGTATTTTTAAAAATATTAGAAAGGGTAACTTTCAATAAAATTTATGATTATATGACATTAAATACGTTTTTATACAAAAATCAATTTGAATTTCAGAGATATTGCTCAACTGAACATGCCCTTATTGAACTTTCCAATAAAATATCTATGTCCTTAGATAAAGGGGAACAAGTACTGGGAGTATTTATTGATCTCTCTATGGCATTTGATACTGTTGATCACGGAATTTTGCTTTCAAAGCTAAAACATTACGGCATTTAAGGCCTAAAATATAAGTGGGTTAAAAGTTATCTTTTTAATAGAAAACAGTTTGTTGTCCTGGAGGAGTCAGGAGCACTTGATATTGTTTGCGGAGTCCTACAGGGATCAATTTTAGGACATTTATTATTTTTAATATATATCAATAATATGAATAAAGCTTCTCATATAATATCGTCAATTATGTATGCAGATGATACAAATTTATTCTACAACAATTCTGATATACTGTTCGAAACAATGGACACTGAACTAGAAAGCTTCAACCAATGGTTTATACCTAATTAGTTATCATTAAATAGTGAAAAAACAAGTTATACTCTCTTCCATAAAATAAGACAATCAACTAATCTTCCATTAAAGTTACCAAAACTGTCAATCAATAAAAATGAAATAAGTTGAGTAAATCATTCAAAGTTTTTAGGAGTAATATTTGATGAGAACCTATCATGGCAAAAATATATTAGTCTCATTGAAGCAAAAATACCCCCTGCTATAAGTGTATTTTTAATTTTTTTTTATTTTTTATTTTAACTCACCTCCTCAAGGCCGAGAAGGCCACTACAGACGAGGAGGCTACTTATTTGTGGTTATAACCCTCTCTCAACTCTATAACTCCGAAACACGAACCTTGACGAGCAAGGCCGCTGCGCGGAGAAACGAGTTGAGCGCGATACTACCAGGGACGTGGTGGGGATCGAACTCGGAACCACTCGTTTATGAAGCGAGCGCTCTACCACTACACCACTACCGCATTATTAGATAAGTCTAGGGCCTTTCTTGATTATAAATCACGCAAAATGCTTTCCTTCAGTCTTGTTCATTGTCATCTCTCCTACGGTAAAGATGTTTGGGCTAATACACACAAAACTAAGTTATTAAGATTAAAGAGCCTACAAAACCACGCATATAAAGCAGTTAACTATTTAAAGAGAAAACCCTTACCCTGTAATGAAATACATGAATGTTTTAAATATATAAAAACTTAATTCGCTTCAAATTTTACTATTTTTGTATAAATATAAGAATAACTTGCTGCCAAATATGTTTTCTGATGTTTTTACATCAGCATTTTCACAAAAATAATCTTTGGTCAAATAACAACCATAACTATCACTTGAATTCATAATGACGGGCCTTTGCTAATAATTGAGAATTTCGACACTCGCGAACTTACTCTGATATTTTTACATCAGCATTTTCACAAATTACAATCTTTGGTCAAATAACAACCATAACAATCACTCAAGTGATAGTTATGGTTGTTATTTGACCAAAGATTGTATTTTTGTAAAAATGCTGATGTAAAAATATCAGAGTAAGTTCGCGAGTGTCGAAATTCTCAATTATTAGCAAAGGCCCGTAATTATGAATTCAATTAAAAAATAACAATATAAAAATTTTGAAAAGCGCTTTCTCTTTTAAACGACAAATAAAACTGTTTCTCCTTAATTTCTGACATAAATGTAACTATGTTTGTATATGTGTGTGTTTTTATGGGTATATGTATATATGAGTATATATGTATATAAGTGTTTTTCTTTATTTTTCACGTTGTGTTTAACAGATAAAATACTCTATTGTAAATTTTCTAAAGTCATGTGGGCTTTAATTGATATTTTTAAGGGGCTCTATGAAAAGATTGTGGTGACACCAGCCATCCTTATCTTCTTTGAGCGCCTGTCTGTTTTATATATATTCTTTGTCAAACGTAAAAGTTTCATTGTAATTTTATTATTTTATTTTGATATAAACAGCAAAATATATTAATACTTAAATAGGTACAATGTCCTTAACTTTAACTTATCTAACTCAACTTTTAAAACTCAATTTCATATAGAGGACCTCGTCTGTGGAACATGGATCTTTATGAAACTATGAAAATTATAACTTTATTAAATAGTTTTTAAAATATAGTTAAACAGTATTTACTTACAATAAATAACAGACACAAACGTATTTTTAAGTTAAAAAAAAAAAAAGTCTTGTAATATTTTTTACTTTATCAATTTATTTTGTTGTTGCAATTTATCGCATGTTTTTAATTGTGTATTATCTTGTTTTATATAATGAGTATTTTGTAAATTTACAATACTAATTATATAAAACAGGTTAAAACATTTTCAAAATACTATATACTATAGTTTTGGAACTTGATGAAAAGAATTCTGTGTTCTACTTAATCCTTTATGTCCTTATTTTTTATTTAAATTTTGTTGATGAAACTTTTTGTAAATGACATAGCAAATAATAAAATTAAAATAGAGTCTTCAATTTTAAAATTTTTTTGGTAGATACTTTTTTAAGTTCGGAATTAGTACGGTTGACGGCACGGGTTTCAAAGTGAAGTACCGCAAGCAACGTTTTCTAAAAAAAGTCCTCTATATGTTGATTTTTTATAAAAAATAGCCCTTTTGCACCTCCGGTGTTGTTGGCATTGGTTGATGGTGCTAAAAGTATTCTCAAGTTTTGTCTCAAAATTGTTGATACACTGTTAATTGTTGATACTAGTTTACCGCCATAAAAAAAAACCTCTGACTCAAATGACGGGCAAAGACACTGGAGTTAAGACTCATATCATCATATCATCAGACGTGCAACAAAACAACACTTATTTGGTTTTGACACAAAGCAATTACTATCGTATTATTAAAAACTTTTGGTAATCTTAGTTATTTAATGTCTTATAAATTGACTCAACATCACGATTATTAGAACATGTATGATATTATTTTATTTAACAATAATAACGAAGTTTGTAAATGCAATATTTATTATATCTTTCGCAATTTGCAGATGGAATGTAATACAGATTTATTTGATTTGTATGTATATATGAACGGACATATATTTGTGTGTACGTGTGCGTATGTGTGTGTGCGTGCGTGTATAATAAAAATAAAAGTAGAATAAAATAGAGAATTAAAAAAAATAATAATAATGAGAAGAAATAATTAATTTTTTTTTTATTTTTTTATTTTTTTATAACCATTTTAATCATTTAATGCTGTTAGTAATTATTATTTTTAAAAGTGCATGTAAAATGTTTAAGTGCATTTGACTAAAAAATTATATAAAACTTTTTTGAATAAATTTTTTGTGGAGAAAATTAATATTCATGTCTTGCAATTTAACTAGATACTATATAATGGTAATAAATTGTAAAAAGTCGGGTTTATATAGGTATTTTTTTACTTAGTTTTGAAAGTTAACATATTAAAGAAGGTTTTAAGGGCCAATAAAATTTTTTAAAATAAAAGCGTTTTTTTCTTATACCAACTGATAGTCTTTCTGCTAGGTTTTGCACTTTTTTTTGCGTTTTGCAGTAGGAAATAATAAGATATTTACGCTATTTGTATACCATTTTAATATATACAAATTCAAATATACCAATATACCAAGTCGCATATACCAATACACCAATTCGTAAACCAATTCAATATACCAATTCAAAACAATCTTGAAATAGCAAATTATTATATTTTTGTCTATGAATAATGAAACATGTAGCAATAAAATAACTATAGTAAAAATTGTTGATATTACATAGTAAAACATTCTATGAAACCTTTATTTTGAAAAAAGTGATTAAATATCAAAAATCGAATGTCAAATTATCAGTAATGTTTAAAGGCACATGTAGTGAAAAACTAACAAAATATAAACTAAAACTGCCATAAATATTAAACCAGTTTACCAATCCAACTGATTGAATTTTTATTGATAAAAATCTAACTTTTTTTTTAATTGTATTTTGTGGATCTGATTCTACTGGTGTTTATTGTCGCACTACAAACTCAAAATTTCATTTAATAGGAACATTCTAATTGAGTTGTTTACCGCCAATAAAATTAAAAGATTGCAAAGTTTGCATGGCGGAGTACCTTGATGTGTACGCTATCGCCTTATATAAGTGGCATTTTAAGGTCAACTAGATAGGCAATATCCGTGTTAACCATCAATATTTAATAGTATTTTTGTTGCGTTTATAAACAGTGTTTTACATTTCCGATACCCTATCAAATTTGTTTTACTTTTGTAGACTTTATTTTATTTTTGTACATGTTTTTGAAACAATTAGTTTGTTACTATTGTATTGTTTAACATTTTTCGGTGACATGGCCCTAAGATCTTTTACGAGTTTCTGTGTTCTTGAATAGCAACCTTGGTGTAGCGCTTATTGTTCTTCATATATAGAAGTTCTTTTTTCAAAGTCAACTTTAGCCATATATGCATCATTGGTAAATAATAAGACCTGAACTCCCCTAAATGCTGTTTCTTGAGCTATCATATACTGTGCTTATACCAAGAGTTTAACTAATTATTTTTATTTAGTACAAAATATATTTGAACAAATTTTATTGAAGTTGTTGTTTTAGTTTTGTGTGTCAATGTATTGCTGTCAAAACAATCAAAGATTTAATTTTTATATTTATTTCTTCAAAAGTGGATGCAAGCAAACTGGCGAGGAGATCCATATTATAGAAGAAATGGAGTTGATGGTTCAGTGTGTTCAATAATAAAATACTTGAGTCAGGTAATTAAAAACTTTTTTAATTTAATAATGTTGTCACAAAAGCATATAAAAATGTAATACAGAAAATTATTTTTATAGGTAGAAAGATTTTGTCCTTGTGCTGTGCCGAATAATTCTTTATACCCACATTGCCTAAATAAAGTTAAAGTAAGTAACTCAAAAATAGGTAATTCAAACATTTTAAACTGACATTTAACTACTTTAGTTATTTTAAATTCTTAACAGCGATTTATTGCTATGTTAGTCAAAAAGTCGGTTGGTTCTTCGTCAAAAAAGTACTAACCGACAATTTAGCATACCATAAAATTTTATCGCCATTGAATTCCCTACAACTTGTCTACTTTTTATAAATAAAGAATCAAATGCAAAACCAACTGCTTATGTATTGCAAAGCAGTTTTTATAATGTTGATCTTATATGCCTTTTAATAAATTTTATTTCTGTTTGTCATTTTTTCAGTCAGAGATTTTTGTTGCAGGTTTTATTGTATTGAATGTCGTCCAATTATTTGTCACACTTTTTTAAATAGTTCATTTATGTGATGCTTTTTATTTAAACTATTTCTATTCTAATTTTTTCTTTGTGCACCTTAGTAATTTATTAAAACATATAAAATTCATTCTTTTGTAAGTGGATGCAAGCGAACTGGCGATCAGATCCATATTATAGAAACAATGGAGTTGATGGATCTTTGTGTTCAATACTTAACTACTTGAGTAAGGTAAATGGTATTTCTTTTTTATTCTTATAAATAATATCATAAGTGGTTATATATGTTTAAATTTTATTATGAGGGAATAAAAGTAATAAAAGTTACACTACAAATTAAGAAATATGTCACTATCAAAAACCACATCAACTGATGTAAACACTAAAAAACTAAGGAAAAAATCTTTAAGGCGTTGTTTAATGTTTATAAGTTAAATTTATAATACAAATAGAAACGATAACTTAAGTTTATAAATAATATACAGATTGTATATTTATAGATGATAGATTTTAAAACAAGCTGATAAACATATATCAAATATATGCCTTATTTGTGTCTAAAGGAAAACTTTTCTTGTAGAGGAAAACAGCATTATTGTAGCTATCTATATAAGATCTTTGAATGACTAACAAAAAGATATATCTAAATAAGTAAAAGTGGAATATTTTTATATAAAAACTGAATATTATTTAATAAAAAAAAGCTTAAACCAGCAAATATATATTTATAAACAAAACCAAGAGCCCAAGAGCTTAAAGCAGCAAGCAATTTATCAAAAAAATCACTAAATCATTTATCAGTTAAATAATAAATAAAATTTACAAAAAAAATTACATTTTATAGTAAATATTTTTGCTAAATTTTATTTACTACTTTGTAGACTCTACAATAAGATGCGGTATTTGAAAAGCGAGTTATCTTTAAGTAGAATTGTTATTGTTAAGTCGCACTGTTATTATTAAACTATGTTCAGACTACAAGAAATAATGAGAAGAGTTGTGATTAAGTTCCCTAGTTATGTTGATTAAAAGTTGTAAACAATATTGCGTCATTATATATATATATATATATATATATATATATATATATATATATATATATATATATATATATATATATATATATATATATATATATATATACATATATATATATATATATATATATATATATATATATATATATATATATATATATATATATATATATAAATTGTTTTTGTTTTTTGATTTAAATATTTTGATTGTTGTAGAACTTTATAAAACTAGTAATCAAAATTACAATACAAACTTACAATGATAGAAAATACAACAATTATAAAAAAAGGTAAACTAAAGAAGATAGCAAGGTTCTATCGTTAGAAGCTTAAATAAGAATTTAATAATGACAAGATAAAAAAATTTTTTTTACAAACTGCAAGTATCTGAAGGAAGTAAACTTGTAATATCAATTAACATTTCTGATAAAACCGAAAAATTGGTTTAGTTGTAAAGATTATATTGATAGCTCTTCAAGCTAATATATTTACTTCGATTGTTCAATATATTTGCTTCGATTGTTCAATATATTTACTTCCATTGTTCAATATATTTACTTCCATTGTTCAAGCCATACTTAAAAACTTTTAGATTTATACAAAATTTTGCAAAATTTTACATGCATAAACAAAGAAATCTTCTCAGTCAATCATTAGTTTCGGTAAATGACCGAGACAAAACAGTTATTACGACACCATATTACGTCATTTTATTTTTGATTTTTTAATGTTTTTAAATATTTTTTTTTCTTTATATTATTTCATAACTTATTTTTATGCTAACTTTTGTTTAATTTCTTTGGATAAATTGATTAAAATTTTATTTGATAAAGAAAAAAAAAATGATGGGGTCGTCCATAATTAACGTCACCATGGTGGTGGGGGTGGTGTGGGTGGAAGTTAGGGGTTTTGTGACAATTTTTACGGAACTTATTACTAGAGAGTTACGATATTGTGAAGAAAAAGGTTGAAGGAAAATCTGAAATGGTCAAAAACGGTACAATGCAATTTGTGGACAATCTCTATATTTAATATGTTTTTTATCATTTATCAGCAGTGTTTCATTTATTAAAAACTTGTAAACCACTAAAAAAGTTTTTCTTGTAATCAACAAATGAGGCTATCAATTTTCATTAAGACTTGATTTTTTGTTTTAATACATTTTTCTAATACTATTTTTTGTTTATTTTTATTATAGTCATGCTTTTATCGAGTAGTCCAACTTCTCCCTGGATATGTTCACCATCTCATTTTATATGTTTTGATAAATTATTGACTTTCTAAAAATTAAAAATATTTTAACTTTCTTTTTATTTTTTTTTTAAGATGGTTTTGCAATGACTCATTGTTTACTTTTTTTTTTAATATCAAATACTAACTATTAAAAAGCAAACTTAACTTAGATAAAAGTGACGTTATTTCTAAACTAAAATAAAGATTTAATATGCAAGAATTATACATTTTTTCTACCTGGTTATTATATTCTATCAGATTTAAAATGCCTATACATTTATAAACTTTGAATATCTTTGAAGAATATGGACACAAAAATTTAATGTCGCTTTCTTTGAAATCACTAAAAATGGAACTCTTTACATTTAAATTGTTCCTATATGATAGTATGCTTATAACACTAAAGCTTTCTAGTCAAATGAATAAAAAAATTGATTCCAAATGGAGATTGTAGATCTAAAAAAATAGCATAAGAAAGTTTAAAAAGCTATCCAGAAAAAACAAGAGACTTAATCTAAGTGGAAAAGGAACATCAGTATGTTAGGAAATAAACAACAGGGGTATAGGCTAATTTAATATTGGTTAAAATAACTTAAATAAAAACTAGAGAGTTTAAATATCATCAAAAAATTAAAGCTAAAACAAACCCATAAACATGACATAACAAAATTTTTTATGTTGTTGTTGTTGTTGTTGTTTTGTTGTTTTTGTTGTGGTTGTTATTGTTGTTGTATTTAGGTATATGTTTTCATTAACACAATTTCTGCGTATCTACTGATGGAGCGTTGAAGACAGAAGCAATCTAATGTAACCATCATTTGAAATAGTCAAGGACTTTAGTGGATTTAGCAGCCCGAAATCGGCCTTTTTTAACACTTATTTACAAAGCGCACTCTTAGCAGCTATCTGATACACGCCCTAATGTTTTAAGTTATAACTAAAGTTTCAATAAATGTTAAAAAAATACCATCATCAAACTATTTCAACCTACCTTAAAAACTTATAAGTTGCAAAATTTACCAGATTCAAAACGACTACAAAATAATTTGTGTTGTAACAAATTTTTAGGTTTTTTTTAGTAATAAACTTTTAGGAACGTTTTGTTTTAGTTTTAAAACCTTTATATGTGTATGAATAAAAGTGCTGTACAAAAATTAAAACTAAAGAAAAAAACTAGTAAAGTTAGTAGTAAAAATTATTTAACTTAGTTAAAAAATATTTTAATTTAAAAAAACATTTTTGTCTGCATATTATATTACTTATTTATTTTATATTTTATTATTCAATTGGTTTTTTATTTTTTTTTTACATTTTAAAAAATCTAGGTTGAAACATTTTGCCCGTTATAAAATAGAGATAAGAGAGTGGCGTATTTTGCATCATAGCTACATCTAAGACAACCAAATTCTTATTCTTTGAATCTTGTAAACTTGATTTTTTTTTGCTTTATTTTCTTGAATAATACGGAGTTTATTTTGAGTTTTTATTTTTATGGAAATATTTTATTTGATTTTAATATTGTATTTTTATCTTGTCAAAAAAAATTTTTTTCTGCGTTTTATTTAATTCTGCTCTTATTGGAAAAACATGCAATTGAGTTGCTGTTACATCAGGGTTTTTTTATTATTTTTTGTTTTTTCTTTCAAAAAAAATTGTTTCTATTTAGGATTAAAAAAAAAAAGAATATTAGTACGCAAATGCATTCTCACATGCCTTGATGTAGATGTATATATAACCATGATTGATTTTGTAATAAGTCTCTAATATAAATTGGTTGAGCTAAAATTATATATAAAGAGTAAGTAACTTATTATTATATATAATAATTAGTATATATAATAATAATGTTATTTAAAAATTTAATTGTTATATAATAACTAACTTATATATATAACAGTATTTACACTGTGGTCCATAATTATTTAAATGGCCGTTCTTTTCAATATAAGATATCAAAGTTTTCAAATGGGAGAGAAATAGAAATCAGGGACTACCTGATTTATGTTATATCTTTCTTTTTGTTAGATTTACATAAAATTGATATAAAATTTTATTTGATTCTTTTATAATTTACTTGCCTTTTAATCAACATTAGTAACAATAGCCGTCATACATATTCTTGGCATTCTACTTAATGGCTGATTTATTTTGTTGAAGTCAATTTTATGCCACTAACTAATCAGTTTTTTCCACATTTTATGCATCATTAGCGCATTTGTTTATGACATTGCTCCTCATTCCTCCCATAATAATCCGATAAGAGAGAGATCTTTTGATTGAGGTGGCTATATCATTTTGTTCAATATTTGATTGTTCTCGAAGTCAGTCAAGTAACTTATACAATTAAAAAAAAATACGTATTGGACTTGAGCTGTTGTTTTTTTAGAAAAAAAAAAATGTTTTCCCAATAGATTGTCTTTCCAAAGGGGTAGCATAATTTTTTAGACTTACACGTAAAGTACTTTTACAATTACTCCTAGGTGACTCTGTTTTTACAGAGTTACCTTTGGTATTCCAACTAAAACAGCCCAATACCTTAACACTATATCCACCATGTTTTACAGACGATAATACACACTATTATATCAAACATTTAACGATTTTTTTTAGAAAAATTATTTTATCTTGAAACCAAAGATTTAAAAATTCGACACGTCGGTCCACGTTTACAGTTATTGATGGTCCATTTTTTATGCTGTTTTGCCCTCTTTACCATTTTAATTATTTTTACGATTTTTATCAAAGCATTCTAAATAAAACACCTCTAAATCATTTTTATAGTGCATAAATAAACATAAATAATAAGTAAATAAAAAATAGCGTTTTTAAAAAAGTTAATGTTATTTGAATAAATATGAACATTAATGTAAAGAATAACTTATTTATAATGACATACAAATAATAACATATATATATCATAAAATCATATATAATAAAAAGTTATTACATATGAAGCGTATTAAGAATAAGTAGTAATTATTACACATGCTGCAGCTGTGGCGCATTGTATGTTAAAGAAAAGGTATAGATAAAACAGATTGTGTTATCTCTAGCTCGTATAGAATGGTTAAGAGATAACTAACAATAAAATGCTAAAACTCAATAATAGGTAATAAAAAAGGGTTACGCTGTAAGTATTATAGTTGGCTATGTAAAAAATAAAAAAGAAAGTATCATATAAAAATGTTTAATTTCTGAACAATATTGTGAGATTGAGCGCGTTTACTTTTTGACGCGTCAGCCGTGGTGCAGTTAGAGTTTTTAGTTCAAAACAAAATGTTTATGGTTCGCAGCCGGCACTGGACATATGACGATA